TGCCTTCCCTCTAGCCTTACACTGCTAAATTTGGGACGGCTAGCGCAGATAGCCCTCGTGTAGCTTTGCGCGGAATTAAAAAACAAACATCTGAACAACAGTCTTCTTGCTGTTTAATAACACTAATACGTTAAGGGGGAGACCCCCCCCCCACAGGCTTAAAAAAAAAGAATTATGAACTTTGTGCGTAGGATATATATATATATATATAATTTTACTTTAGCTTTGCTAATGTTCTAATCACATTAGCATTCAAGGAAGTACTTTCTAAAACCGAAACTTCCTTAAATCTTGTTAAAAATTTATGTTTAAAATTTTCGTGCTAGACAATTGTACTAGTGTCGAGTTGTTGTGAATTTTATTCCCACAAGCTTTACACAGGAAGTGACAAACAGAAAGTGATAAACCGGGAAAACCAGAAACCGTACACCCAGTACCATGTTTCTGGAATAGTCTTTGTGTGGACGACAGACATAAATTTTGAATAAAAAAATTTTAAACTGTTATCTTGCCTAACTAACTGTCATAGATTTGTAGGAATACAAATGTGTGTGAACTTAGTTGAGCAGTTGTCAAACTTTCGTTGTTAAAGATACTTCAAGGTCTACCAATGTGAAACTGGTACAACCAGTTAAGAGACGTTATTCTCAACAGGTCTATAAGCTGGAATTTATAATAAAGCCCTATTGTTAACGTTTCCGTTATGTTAGCATTCCGTAGTTGAGTCGTTTCTGGTAGTGCTACTTTTTTGTTCCGGGACTTAAAACAGCCTTGAAACATACTGTAATAAAGGAGTAGAGAAAAATGTAGTTTTTTCTTTCTCTATGTGCATGCTAAAGAAATTAACGAAACATATATATATATGTTATTCATACCGATATTACAACAACAAAAAAAGTTTACACTGTCTATACAGCTTGAAAATTGAAACAAGTTTATATATTTGAGTTGGAAGAATGGAAACAACTATCCACAAATACTAAATTTTTCTTTGGGTTTTCGAGAATCTTTACGACAAAGTGTTTGAAAGTTTCAACAGATATTAAACATGTCTTGAAAATTATTAAGTCGAAGTTTGACTTCAAAAACTAAATCGTAACAGTTCGATGTGACAAGATCTGGCGACCCTAATTTTCTTTCTGCATTTCCGTTTCTGAAAGTATTCGCTTTATCATCAGCTTGTTTAGGTTCTAATGAACACAGAAGTGAGCCAGTAGATAAAGAAACTCAGTGAAGACAGTAAACAATGAACAATTCCAATAATCGATAACAAATTGATTCCAAAAATCGATAATGAATAACATCTAATTTGATCAGCTTCATTTGTTCTTGCTCTATTATGGTGCCATCGAGTTACTGAGATGGCGCTACGGACTGAGCTTGATTTTGACAAGCTTCAATGCACTTTCAAGAACAAGATCTGACTGGCAGAGTTAGAATTAAACAATAAAGACAGCACATGCTTGGATACTTCTTTGTGTAAATATGATAAATCCCTTCAGATAGCTGGGCTTGTCTTAGTTCACCCGGTTTATGCCAGAACAGTAAGAGTCTCTTGTTTAAGTTAACATCAATTAAAAGGGGTGGAGGTTGGGAGTTTTACATTGTAAAATTTTTATCGGGTTGGTATATTTCTACATTAAAGACATTTCTAAGTATTAAGGGTTACTGCCTTCCCACAACTGGCCGCAGACAGCGAAAGGCAGTTAGAAATGAAACGTTGTGGGTTCAAGCACTCAACTCCTAACCCTTAACTAATTCTCCTTTATTGCTGACAAGTTTTTCACGGTCGTTTAGATTTCGCCTGATATTTAGAATATCCCAACTGATTTGTCTGTTATGAACACAGGCTAATATTATTCTTGAGACTTAATGACGACAGCAAGTAATGGTAGCGGAGGCAGGTGTGATTTTGAGGATCAAGAAATACAATGCTATGTAATACATTAATTGTTCATAGGCGATTAAAATCAGCACTAATGAACTTTATATATATATATACAAGAAACAACGCAATAAAATTGAAATATATATATATATATATATGTGTGTGTGTGTGTTTGTGTGATTTTGTATACGAGAAAATGTAATTGTGGAATGCAACCATGTATAGAATAGCACACCTTGAATGCAACCATGTATAGAATAGCACACCTTGAATGCAACCATGTATAGAATAGCACACCTTGAATGCAACCATGTACAGAATAGCACAGCTTGAATGCAACCATGTACAGAATAGCACACCTTCATCTTCACTCCATTGGTTAGGACTGAGCTAGTCTAATCATAGTAGCAAACTAACCAAACTTTATAACAACAACAATATCAATTCCTTTAACAATCTTATCAAATTCCCTCTTAGCTCTATCAACCTGTTCTCATATGACAACCTTTCCATCCCAGTTATCATCTTACTATCCTTTCCCTGAACCATTTCCCATAATTCAATGTTCTTGTTACGGTGTGAATACCTTTTCCAAACCATGAATATAATTAATGATACTTATCAGAAGACATTAGTATTAAGCATATGGTTACATAAATAGTATTTCAACCATTACTGTGTTTTTGATGCCCCAGCTGGCCTGATGAGCTCTGGATGGAGCAAAATGTGTCACTGGTAATGAATATGGTGAATGTTGTATAGTTAAAATATTATTATTATTGTACATTCTTCTAAACCTTGAGAACTACATAAAGACTGCAGTGTTAAATAATATAAAAGGCCTAACACTAATGTTTTATGAAAAGTATAATTAACGTCCAAGACTGAACATAATTCTCCAAATGTAGCCTAACCAGTTATTTATACAATGACATTATAACTTCATTATAATTCAGACTATTTAAAATACAATGTATAATCAAACTTGAACTACCACTAGCAACAGCACATCACTTGAATGGCTTAAGAGACTGACCAACCGGAATGCCAAGGTCAGTTCTTCAATAATGATGTTAAGGTTTTTTCCCATCGAAATTATGTTTATAATTCAAATTATGATAACCCACATACATTACATGCATTTATTATAATTAAAAGCCATCTACTATTTATTCACCCGATTAACCAAATCCTTTTGTAAAGCAGTAGCATCTTCCTCACAACCACTAACAACCAAGACCATTATGTCATCAGCAAATTTGAAAAATTTAAATAATCTACTGACCATTCCTTCATCTGTATTATTGATGTAAATCAAAAAGAGCAAAGGTCCTAATACTGAGCCCTGAGGTACCCCACTTGTGACATTAATCCAGTTTGACTGAATTCTATTTATAACAATTTTCTGCTTTCTTCCATTCAACCACTCTTGTATCCAATTAACTGACTTATCCCCAAACCTACAGAGATAAGTTTTACAAGTCTTTTATACAATACCTTGTCAAATGCTTTCTGAAAACCCAGATACACCAAATCTACATCCTTACCCTCATCTACATAAGCAGTAACTTTTTCAAAGAATGTCAAAAGATTTGTAAGGCAGATTTTCCCCTAGTGAAACCACTTTGACTATCAAATAAAATTCTAAACTTTGTTAAATGACGTTGCAAAGCATCTTTTAACAAACTTTCCAAAACTTTTCCCACAACTGATGTAAGACTAATGGGTCTATAATTACTGGGACAATTTTTATCACCTCCCTTGAAAAGAGTAACATAAACCATTCTCCAATCCACCCACCATTCAAAGACTTACAAAAAATAGTAGCAAGTAGCTCACATATCCAATCCTAAACTTCCTTCAAAACCCTTGAGGAAATATTATGTGTCCTAGGAGCCTTATCCGTTGTTAAATTTCCAGATTTGTTCATAACAAGCTCAGAATTAATGTGATCATCTGGCTACCATCTAGAACATTTTAATTTAAGCCAGTAATTACTGTTCTAGTTTGCTGTATGTGTATATCTAGTCATAGTTGATTTTGTTTCCTTTTATCCCGTGGGCCATACGTTGCACATGCTTGGTTTAAACAGATAATTCACAAATTTTAAAAATTTAGTGCAGCACAATATATTGGATTTGATCTTTAATAACACAAGTTTCAAGTAATATTCTGGCTTCCTGTAACAGGAGAGTAAGATTGAATTCAAGTAGAACTTGAAGCTAGGTTCTTATATTCTATATAACAAGTAATCCGATTTTCTCAAATCAAACATTTTATCATTTTTGAAGATTACACCGTTCTAAACTTTCCACAGTCCCTTGGGAAGGATGGTGCGAAGTCTAATAGAATCGTAAGTGGAAAGATCAGGATAGAATGTCAAGCCAGTTAGTTGTTCTACATCAGTAACAGATGAAGAATGTTGAACAAGAAGATGAGTCTTACTCTATAAAAGGAAAAAAGAAATAAAAATCTTTAGATCCTACAAAAAACTATGTACCGCACATTACAAAAGTATGTGTCGCACATTACAAAACTATGTACAGCACATTACAAAACTATGTACAGCACATTACAAAACTATGTATCGCACATTACAAAATTATGTATCGCACATTACAAAACTATGTATCGCACATTACA